AAATGCTGTGTGAGTTAAGCATAGTTATGCAAACAAGGAAATATAAAACTTGCCCAAAGAAAGAAACAAGTCAGATCTTCATAATTTAACACGGATGGATATCAAAAATGTAACATTGAGAGAAAAAGGAAAAATTAAGACCATGAATAGGACATGCTATATATCTAAAATTAAAAATTAAAAGCTCAAACAGAACAATATACTTGAAACAGACATATAGAAGTAAAGGCATGAAAGGCACACTGGAAAGACACACATTCAATACATAAACTTTGACACTGGGAGCTGATGGGACCAGCAAAGAGGGACATATGGGACTGAGAAGTAAAGTAGGGACTGGCCTAAATGACAATGTGGAATATGACTGATCATTTCAATCAAATATAGAGCAGTTATGCACTTACAGCCCAGTTCCTACTCCCTTCCCAAAACATATCCAAATTAAACAGACTAGCAAGTGTCTGAGCCAGCATTCAAGCTGAGGTCTGCATGACCTCAAAGCCTATACATCCTATTAATTCATTCTGCTAGATCAAGTAGCAATTATCTCCTGGCTATTCTAAAAGATGAACCAAATTTCTACACATGGGCCCTTGGAACCACTCTTATCTGTGAACTACAGAATAAGAACAGGATTAGCAATGATCCAACACAACGTATCCCTTTTAAAAAATAATACAGTACTGTTATTGTAGTACTTATGAATTTTTAATTCTTTAAATCTATTCATGATGCTCTTGTATGAGACGGGCCCAAATACATACCATGGATGAACATCATCTTGGGACAGTCTTTTAGCACTAGATCTGTGATTCCACAATTGGTCATAGTGACTCCTACAAGATTTTTGGATTTTAATACAAGAACCTATAAGGAGAAAATTGAAAAGTTATATGTATATGTATCATTCTGTTCTTTTTCTTTTTTTTAAGCTTAAATGTTTTCACTGATACAACTGAGAAGCTGCTGTTACCAACTTTTCTTAGGACAAAGAAACTTGATACTGATAGAAATTTTAGTTCCTTTGCATTATTCAAGAACTGAGCTGGACTTGGACTATGATAAAGAAAAATGAGGGCTTTTCCTGTACCTGCACATGGTCATCCTCAATGACAGGATCACTAGTACTAGTAGATTTATCTGCTGTGCGCTTCCGTTTCATGGCATGACGTGACTTTGTTTTGGCAACTTCTAGAAAAGGCAAAAAGAAAACCTGTATTTTAGCCTTGCTTTCTTTCCTTCTAACACATTCAACTGCATACAATAAACTCCATCAAGGCAATTCCCAAATCTACACCTTGGTTCCCAAAGGAATACAGTTAGAGCAGTATTTCCAATGGACTGTTTGAGAACAGCATCACTCTCCACTAATTCAAATATATCTACATCAAATATAAGATCCTTTTCATACCTGATGCATTCTAATCAACATTCTTGTCTCTAGACTCTGCCTCATCCCATCAGAAATACCATTCATTCATGAATTAAACTCATGACTTTCCTGCTAAAGACTTTAAATTCCTGACTGCTGCTTAGCGAATATGTTTCAACGCCTGACATTTGGAGCTATGCTTTAGCTCTACCTGTTCTCAATTTTACTCTACACCACATCCTAGTAGTCTTCCACAGCCATTGTCTCCACAGCCATCAATCATTCTAGTTCCTCTGCTCAGGACACCTTTTCTGACTTGAAATACTATCCATCAATGACAAGTCCAGCTCAAACATCACCACCTGTTCTTACAAATCACCCTGGATCCCCAAACAGTATATATTGTTCTGAAATTCCTGTATACTTATTTCTCTATTTGAACTAAAAGCTCCTTAAAGGCAACAACACTGTCTTATTTCATTTTGTTTCAATGTCAGCCATCATTAATGAGCTAAAACAAACATTTATTGAATAAACTGGCACTGAACAATTAGAGAATGAATGAATGCACCACAGGTACATATATAGAATAATAAATATTTACTGAGCACTTACTGTGTGTCAGGCACTGTCCAAGGGTTTTAATTATATTAGCTTATTTATAGCTTATTATAGCTCTGAGATAAATTTAATTCTTCTCTTTTTACATATTAGGAAACTGAAGCACAGGAAGATAAAAGAGCTTGCCATAGTGTTAAATGAAAATCAGGAGTCAAATCCAGGAAATCTAGCACTAATCACTAAGCTAGAAAACCTGTAATCTTTTCTCTCTCAAATCCTGGTTAGTAAATTCCTAACTTATTTACTAGTATTGTCCTAAAATAATACATTTCAATTATATAAGCAAATTATTATCCTCATTTTATTTTTTCAAAAGTTCTAAATTCATACCTAAAATTTAATAAGCACAAATATATTTTGAGAAAATGCATTAAAAGTCCTTGTCCTCTCTTTTGATAGTTAATAGTACTGTAGCAGAGCACACACTGAATGAAATAGTTGACCTTCATAAATTAAATCACCACCATACTGCTCTTTCAGATACCACTGCTAATTTCAGACAGTCCACTTGCTAGTTCTATAACCTCAAACATGAAAGAAACATAGGGAAATGAGGTAAAAATATTGCAAATTCTCAAAGGCTTGGGTTTAGATGGAAACTCTAGAGATCTATTCTAAGAATCTTTTCTCTATCATTTGGCATCTTTGTGAAATTCTACCAAGCAAAACAAACAAAAGTGACTGCTTTGGTTGAAGGCGGATGGTGAAAGAGCCCAAGCGCTCTACTCATCAAATTTCTTCCAAGGAACCTGAAACCCAGCAAAATCTAGCATTCCAAAAAACATAAAAACTATTGACTCAGGCAACCCAATATAGGCATTCTCCCACAGCATCCTGAAGGAACTTCAGGCAAAATCTAGAATCATCTTCATTGACCAAGAAACCTTCTAAACACAGCACATTTCACCTGATAACCAAAATTTGCATACTTGTTACAACCTACCTCTAATAGGTCCTGGTTCCCTCTCCTAGTAACACAAAAATAAAAACAAGAAACATGTCTGTTTCCACTCTTCCATGACAGTGTTCTAAAAAGGGTCTAATATTACAGCATTCTCCTTTTGTGATCTGATTCGCAAACTTCTAATGTTCTTGGAGTACTCTCATGGCTCCTCATTAATTAATTAGAAAATGGGCTTCAAAGTCAAGTCTCTTCTTACCAGTGTGCCCAAACTGGTGGTTTATGTTTTTGAAGAAAGTTAAAAAACTACGTCACACTTAGTATATAGACGGTCTTGAAAACCAAAGGCTTCTCAATGTAAAAGGCAAATAGTTTGTTGTTATTCTCTATGCCTCCCTCCCTGTTTAGAGACAACTAATTTTACTTAGGGACAATTCTGAGTGATTTCTTATATTTATTAGTATCAACAATACCCTATGTGATGGTTTCTATACTTACTAAGTTCACAATTATTAACTGAGTCCCATACCATGTATAAAATATGGTGCCAGAAGCAGGGAATAGCAGAAACCATCCCTGCCCTCATGGAGCTCATAGTCTAGTGGAAAGACAGTAGTAAAACACAGAATTACAATACAGTGTGGTTCGGATTAGTGTTGAAGATGCTATAGAAACAGAGAAAAGCAGATCAATCCAGTCTTGGAGTATCAGGGAGAACTATATTTATGAGAACTATGTATATTAATCTTAAATTTTATTCTTTGACAACCCAATTAATTACTTTTGCAATATGTACTTTATAAATTATTATACAGTGAGGATAAAGACAACGTTGAGGTATTTATTTCCAAAACAGAACTTCACAAAACAAATAATTACATTAGTTTCTAACATGGCTTTAATAATCTACCAAGTCACAGACAACAAACTAAATAAAAAGCCCAAATGTTACTTTTTAATATACTGCTTTAAAAAATCTATAACAAACAAGTTTGTTCCTATAATAATTTGGATTTCTCTCTTTAAAATGTTTAAAGCAGACTGGCCAATAGATATCAAAACCATACTAGGTTAAAAATAATTTATAAGTCACCCAAATAAGTTGTTCTTCTTTATAAAAGAGACCTGATTAATACTGAAATCAGTGCTTTGACACTCCCCAGAAAAATTGTTCCTGAGAGTAAATGGACATTTGTATGGTGCTTCAAAACCATTAGGAAATAATTTACCTACTATAAAAACAGTTACAGACATTAGATGTCTTCTCAAATTGAAAAAAAAAAAAGAATCACAATAAACTAAACAGTAAAAAGTACTACATAAGTGAGATTTTCTTTTCTTTCCAAGAACTAATTTAACCTAAGAAAAAGTTCTAGTCATGAAACAGGTTGGAGTGAAATGGTAAAGGGAATAACAGAACACAAGGCAAAAAATTAGAACTTAAAAATCCTGAAGGTAACATGAAAGATCTATATTAAAACACGAAAAAACTGTAAGTTTACCAAGAGACTTCAGACAAATAAAATTGGAAACTCAACAGTTCTTAAACAAGCAAACTTAGCTATAAAAATGACAATTCCCTTTTCAGTTATCAGTTTAATGTAATTCCAAACAAAAACCAAGATGATGTGTTTTTCGAACTTGATAAAATTCTTACAAAGCACATCTATAAAAACATAAAACAAATGCATGAATAGACAAGAAAATTTTGAAAACTAATGATGAAAGAGGAAAGAACAGTGGAGCAGAATAGAATGTCCAGAGATAAACCTAAGTGTGTCTAAGAATTCCAGCACATGATAAAAGAGCATTTTAATATAATAGCATGAGAATGGATGTCAATAAATAGTACTGAAACAACCTGGTGAAAGCTTAAAATAAAAACATAGTTCCACAGATTAAAATAAAACTTCTACAAGTTAAAGAACTTTAAATAGATGAAGAAATGGGAAGATGTGAATATTTATATGAATCAAGCACAGTGATGGCCTTTCGCAGCATAAAAATAAGGAAAACATGTAAATCTGACTTTATAAATATTTAAAAAACATGCAACAGAAGGGATCACAGTGAGGAGTTTATGTTTAATGTGTACAGAATTTCAGATTGGAATGATGAAAAAGTTCAAATGATTGGTGGTGACAGCTGCACGGCAACGTGAATGGACTTAGCACCACTAAACTGTACACTATAAAATGGTATACTGTGTATGTAAAGTACGTTTTACTACAATTAAAAAAAATTACCACAAAATATTTAAAATTAAAGTTGGGAAAAATATAGCCGAATTGGTGAAGTTTACAAGGTGTAATGAAAACTTCAAATAAAACTCTTATTTTAGTTCAGACACAGTGGTTCATGCCTATAAACTCAGCACTTTCAAAGGCCAAGCCAGGAGAATCCCTTTCGGCCAATTTGAGACCAGCCTAGCCAATAGAGCAAGATCCCATCTCTACAAAAAAATCAAAGTATTAGCGGGCCATGAGAGCATGTGACAGCAGTTCCAGCTACTAGGAGGTTAAGGTGGGAGGATCACTTACGCACAAGAGTTTGAGGTTGCAGCAAGCTATGACACCACTGCACTTCAGCCGGTGCAGCAGAGCCAGACCCCATCTCAAAAATGTAAAAACCAAACCCACCCGCCAAACAAACCTCATGTACTTTAATAAGAGTTTATGTTACAATAATAATAGCACATAATTAAGGTCTCATATTTATCTCATGAACGCTTATTTTTGTTTAACTCCATATAATTCAACCAGGTGTATACAGTATGTATATATAAAAAAGCACTGACTCTACCTATGTTCTGGAGCTGATTTTAAGGTTTTCAAATTGAAGAATAAATATAGATGGAGAAAATTAAAATGTTATTATTACTTCTAGTATTAATGTTTTAGGCAGAAAAGACTACTTAAAAATAAAGTCAGAAATAGGAACAGAATAATTACGATTAAGAAATATGCTTACCCTTACTTGGTGCTTAGGATATATAAGTATTAACGAACGTAAATATGTATACATGTAGGTGTGTTTTGAGTACCTTCAAAGTAATTCTCAGCCAAACTAATTACTTACCTGCTTACTTCCTGGCAAACTTTACTGGGAGCAAAACTGATTTCTGAAAAAGCTACTTGATCCTGCAGAAGCAGACAGAGAGGTAGGAAGCTCCCCTGACAGATGTTCCCAGCCCTAGTAACTTAAGGTCCTTACCTTTTTGGCTAA